ATGAGAGTAGAGCCTAACTAGCCATCAAAACTGAAACATGAGCCCGACAATAATAGGACGAATAGGATGCGTCGTGAATCGGAAGCAGACTGTGATGAAAAGCAGTCGGAATTTCTGAAGTTATAAACCGCAAGCGAGAAACCAGATATCAGTCAGGAATAATATCCCATTGAATACGGAGATGATGCATGACAAAATAAGTGAACTAGAAGTTACTCCTTTGGAAGTGGTAAGACCTGCAAAGGACAAGGTAAGTGACGGCGTACGAACTAGAAAAACAAAGATTCATTAGAGCGAAATATGGCAGCACAGACCGCGACGGGTCAACCGAATCTTCGGTTCTCCTTAGAGCTATTTAAGCAAGCTACGTAGGTTTCTTGAAAATGAATACTAAGAGCTAGCATTCAGATCAAAATTTTGACTTAATTAATTCTTTCACAGAAATGCCTGAAGCTCAATCCCAAGGAACGAATAGGCATCCAAGACGCGAAGCAGGAGGGATTCCTAAGGCGTGCGGAAATCATGAAACCCAAAGTGTTTATGGCTTTATGTAAATAATAAAATATTCCAAAAAGTGTTTCATTTATTGAACTTTAGCTACTCTGCTCAGGTGATCAGCATGCTCAACAAACAAATGCGCCTGGTTGGATTTTACGGTCCATAAGTCTGGCGTCAGATATTCATATGTCGCACGAATCGCATAATAGGTTGCTTTTGCTAAAAGAATAACAATTAAGAAAGCAAGTGTACCAAAGTTCCCCAAAGTAGCCGTCTGTCCGGAGGCACTCGTGTACACATCTTCTATCCCTGCCATATTGAGCAGCTTCTTAGGTACAGGGGCACTGACTATCCCAGTGCCACGGGGAGCAGGGATGAGACGAACAACAACAGAACCACATTTTCCCGTGACCTTGCAGGGCACAGTGTGGGGCTTGCCTATTTTATTTCCCCAATAGCCTTTACGCACAGGAATTATGGAAAGCTTGGCTTGTATGATGGCACCTCTTATCGCTGTTGCAACCTCTTTAGCACACTTTACCCCAAGACCAACGTGGCCGTTTGAATCACCCATAGCAACAATTGCCTTAAACCTAGTGCGTTGACCGGCACAAGTTTGCTTTTGCACGGGCATTATCTTGAGGACTTCATCCTTTAAATTGCTTCCAAGTAGAAAATCAACGATTTGGGACTCTTTGATAGGCAAGCTGAATAGATATATTTCCTCTATGCTTGTAACTTTCTTGTCGAGCACAAGGCGCCCGAGATGTGTAACGGGCTTCCATTCAGCAGCCTCCTTGGCTCCACGGGCTAATCTTCCCCTATCACGGAATCGAGATCGCCTCCTCCCACGACCTGTGGCACCAAAACCGCCCCTAAAACCGCCTCGATCTCCTCGCTCCATTTGAGGGTAAAAGGGGAGGAAAGATGTCACGCAAAGAAAAAAGCGAGAAGTGAGCCTTTGCAGGAGGATAATTCAGCAAAACAAAAATAAACAAAATACGTTATTTTTGATTAAGTACTAATAAAAAATAATAAAAATAAATAAACTCATCAGGAAAATGTTTAGATCTGATAAATTTTACAGAATGAGAGTCAGAGCAAAGATATTTTGAGAAAAATTAAGGCATTTTACCAAAATAAGTAGTGAGTATAGTTTGCAGTAACAAAAATGAATATATACTAATAGATAATTTAAGCAAATTTAATGCATGCAATAAATTAGCTCGGGTTAGTTGGAATCCAGATAACAACATCTATCTTAAATATATTACGAGGCTGATTAAATGTGAGGTTATGTTGTGTATAATAGCTCCGGGTAACATACAAACCCTGATTTTTGACGTGCCAACGTAAAAAATGAAATATATCAATTAATGGAAATGGTAGTTGAATGGTTGAGAAGACTTCTCGATTATTCTTGATTAAATTCACTATACAAAAATACATTACTTGCATAATATAGTTGACCAAAAATAGAATGATGAACATCGTATTAAATTTGTATGTCTTATATCGAAGAGGGAAATGAGTTTTAGATTCCTTAATCAAAGTATATCTGATTTTTCCCATGGATCGCCTATGCTCTTTGAGAGATAAAGAATAATTTTGTTAGAAGTTAAGCTTTCTACATAACATGCTATTGTTGCATGCATCAGATTGACGAGCCTTACTGTATGTAGAGGATCACGAAGATAGAATGATATTATTTGTGATTAATTTAATGTGTATATCGAGATCATTCATTTTGACTTCATTTATATTTATATATCTCATTTTTTATAATTCAAACTATATTCGAATTTGAGCATTATAACTTATTTAAATAGTCCTAGCATATTATAAGCGTAACCCCTTAATTAAAAAGTAATACTTATTAAAAGGATTTGTCTGCTTCAATAAAACCTTCATTGGATTGAAAAAAGTTGATTCGTCTTTAAAATATTGACACATCTTGATGCCATATTTGGCTTAACAGATTGCTACTTGTGGATTAAGCCCTTTATAGTTTTATCTTGTTTGCCCTAAGCAAGTTAGAAATTGCGTTAATAATTGTTTACACTAAAATTCAAATTGAGGATTTCACCTTGTCTTCTGTCCTCAGAGAAGACTTTTCAAAAATATGCTTCATCCTATAGATTCCAACCTGATTTGCACGTGAAATCTTTATATTCTAGACATTTCCTTGATAGAAAACATTTTGAGTTTAATTCCTATGATCCAAATCCTGGCTTCCTCTAACAATAAGTGCTTCCTCAGAAGGTTGAATCACTGCTCACTTTGGTCAAATTACGCACACCATCTTATTTCATATAAAATTTCCATGAGAGCAAATAATTAACTTGGACGGAGTCAGAATTGTACCCATCAGTTTAGCATTTTGGTAACTAAATTGCATCTAAAATATAAAGGCTATTCAAATTTGGGATTGATGTATGCAGATGGAAATTGTTTATTCCAATCAGAATAAACTTTTTAATACGCAGTATCAGATGATAAAATTAAATTTCCAAATGCTTTGACTAGCTTGTGGAATTTTTGTAGTTGTAAAATTCGCATAAGATAGCCAGTAATTTAAACTATATAGGATCTTATTATTAAAGAATTTTTTTGTCTATTGTAGGTTAATTAATTTTAACGTTAAATTAATTATTGAATTTTATCGGTAACTACGAGGAGAATTTTTTCGAAGGAGACTACAATGGCATTTTTTTATGCAAAGCATGTAGGGCTGACATTTTACCAAGAGTTTGACTGTTTGAATGTTGATCAGAGTCTGCCATATTGTTACGCAGTCCTCCTTCCATAGGCCTTACCACAGTCTCTCTCTTACCCCGTGAGATCCGTCTGCCCTCTCCCTGGTTCACATATTTCACTCAACCTCTGTCACCCCATCTGTACCACTCGAGGCGTTATTGGCCCTACCCTGTGTCTGGGTGACTAATTAAAGGCTCAAGCCTCTAAGTAAGTGTCATAGTCACTCCTTTTACACATGTAACACGTCTCTTATAAATCCTACTGTCAGCCCACTAGCTCCTATCGCGGCCGCATCTATCCTGTTTCTATCTCTAATACCAAGTCCTTGACTTCTTATGCCCTAGTTTCTTGTGTGCCAACCCACGAACGTTTACTCGGTAGACGTTATAATCTCCCGACATCCACAAATATAGAATTTGATCAAATATCGTATTGTTTAGTTAAAATTAGACTCAAGGAAAGCATTAACAAACTGCACACATTAATAAGAACGAAAACCAAGCTTAGACAATCTCTCTTTCAACTATTGAGTGATGTGGATTTTATTAAGTTACAAGACATGACTAACGGGTTATGAGAGGCGATTGACAGAATTACGCGTTAAATAAATGATAAGAAGCTCCAGAATTTAGAAATTAAAATAAGGTCGAGAAACTTTGTACATAGGAAAAATCTTACTAACCATGTGGGAAGGATAAGGTAATCAATTTATCTAGTACAACTCTGAAGGATATTGTAGTGCTTTTATTGGAAAGAGGACTGAATTTTGCTCTTCAAAATGAGGTAAACTATACACTGGAAATACATTTTGAATTCATTAACTTTTCTGATAGATTACCTGAAGAGGTAAGGAATAGTATTGAACTGGAGGTGACCCTATAATACCACCTAAAAAAGATTATTATATTAGAAAGGTTTCTAGATATCTGCTAAATAATAATCTAATCATAACGAAAGACAACAAAGGTGGAGCAGTGGCAGTCATGAATAAATCAAGTTATGTAGAAAGGATGCTAGTACATTTAAATGATAATGACACATATAGACCTTTATTGACAAACCCAACCGAAAGACTTAAGACTAGGCTAAAAGATACTGTTAAGGTATGCGTAAATAATGATGAAATGGAGAAGTGGAAAATGAATTAACTACTCCAGAAAGATGCAAGGGCCCCCACTGCTTATGGTCTCCCTAAGGTTTACAAAGAGGGTGCCCCACTAAGATTAATTGTAAATAATAAAGAAAGCGTGATGCATAAGAGCTTATGGTTTTTATGCATACAACTAAGGAAATCTGCCAATTATTGGCTATATTCAGTTAAAAATTTGTATGATTTTGTTAAATTGCTAGAACAGCAGACAATTTCTGAAGAGAATAAGCTAGTAAGCTTTGATGCTGCGTCTATTTAAGCAAACATTTCTGTGCAAAGAGCTATTTAAGCTCCGATACAAACTCTAGAAATACATCTAGAGATAACACAAGGAATAAGGTTAAGAGTTGCTTCCATTATTAGACTTATTAATTTATGCATGAGTACAACATATTTTACCTTTGACGGTAAGTTATTCGAACAAACGCAAGGATTAGCGATGAGATCTTGTCTGTCTCCCATCTTAGCGAACAATTATATAGCCAAATTGGAGGAACACTTCCTACAAGAGGCAATACTAACACCTAAATTGTTGGTAAGATACATGAATGACTATTTCGTCATCTGGCCTCATGGTAAGGACAATTGAATAGTTTCTTATTTTCACTCAACCAGCGTGAAAGGAACATTAGGTTCACGATGGAAATGGAAGAGAATAAGTCCTTACCTTTCCTGGACGTTCTCATCATTAGAGAAGGGGGTAGATTAGGAATAAATGTTTTTAGGAAGCTAAAATATGTTGGCTATTTTCCTAATTTTCTTTTCAACGATAGTTACAAGACTAAGGTTGGAATTTTGAAATCAATGATTCTTAGAAGTATGAGGCTAGTGGATAGAAAACATTTTACTAAAGTGTTGGAGCGACTGACGGATATATTCCTGGAAAATAATTATCCGTTAGGCCTTATTGAGAATAATATCTCTATAATGAGGAATAAATTTTCAGACGGAAACGATTTAGTCAAAGAGAGAGAGACTGAGACCTTTTCCCATGTCTCTTATTTTAACGTCATACTTTCTATCAAAAAAAGATAAGCGAATTAGTAAAGAAGTGGGGCATAAAAACAGTATTCAAAGAAACCCTCACACTTTCTTCTGGTATGCCATCAATTAGAGAGAAATATAACCAATTATTGAGATCCAGCTGCTACAAGATTGCTTGCTCATGTGGTCGATTTTATGTTGGTGAGACATGCCAACCTATTCGACAAAGATTGGGAGAACACAAAAATGCTTACAAAGGTGGCTGGATCCAACGGTCAGAAGTGGCCGAACACATGGTAGATACTGGACATGAAATAAAATGGTCTTAAACTAGTAGGTTTGCTGATTACAGTACGTCTGTGTTTAAAATAAAGATAAGAGAAGCTATTGAAATCAATAGATTAGGAAATATGTTAAATGTGAGAAACGGTGGTAAAAAGTTGAGTAGGAATTACTCGTGCTTGATTGATAAATTAAGAGATAGAAAGGGTGTTGAGCCGCCTTCAAAAAGAAGGCGACTTAATTTTTCTGCTCAGTAATGATTCTAATTTCACTCCCATTCGCCCAAAATTTTAGAGTAAGCTCTTCAAACAAATCAGACATGTCATATTACGCAACCCTAGCTTGCCTTTCCTTAGAGGGTTAAATGTTAATAACCTTTGACTGAAAGGTCATGAGAAGTAGCCTTGTAACTTGATTATCATGCTTATAAGCTCATATTTCATTATCTTAACCATACTTATTTACGGACCTAGGCAGTCTCGGTCAAAGATTTTCTCTTGGGTTATTAGGTCTTGAGGATCAGAACCTGAGATTTAACCTTTGACAAGTCTGATTTAGGAACCGTATTGCATATAGACGCTAACGCGCACAAATATACATACTCATACAATCGAGCAAAATTAAGAGAACCAGTAAGAAAGAAAATTAACCAAGCCACCCTATATCGATCTATCTGGGTTTTTAATTTTTGGCTCGATTGAGTCTATATTAGAAGTAAGATAGAGCCGAATAGTGTTCTTGCTTTAGTGTTAACGTGAGACCTTTACAAGAATGACACCCAGCTCTGATGATGTCCATCATATGATTGACGAAAGGTCAGCACGTTTTTACCCGAAACGAGAAAGTAAGTCTCGTTGACTGCGTCAACACGAATATCGTATAAAAGCCAAACGGCTGCAGTACGAGTTTCATTCGTTCTCATCTGGTGAGATCGACCATCGAATCTCTTCTTCATGCACTTTCATTCGAAATAAAGGTCCTCCTAATAAATGAGAGAAGAGTGTCAGCAAATTATTAAAAATGGACTAGTAAGACTATGTGCTTCTTGGTTCCCATAAATTTTTAGTCTAGAAAGGGTTTCAA